CCCGGCCCCGGCCCCGGCGGCGCGTGGGAACGGGCGTTAGGGAGCGACCCCGCCGACGGCGCGTCACAGCTCCCCAGCGTTTGCAGGGAGGGGGCCTCCCCGTCTGGAAACCGGTCTCCCCCGACGGGGCGTTTGTCAGGATGCGGGAATTTGCATTCATTAGCTCATGCGGGGGATTATGGCATGAGCTTACGGCATGACACCCAAGCGAGTCCTTCGCCCCGCTGCGCCTAATAACCTGACGTGGCTGGGAAGCGCTCGGAGGCCCTGAAGGCTTCTCCATGGCTGGATGATTTTCCTTAGGAAACTCAACAGGACCTGTGAAAGCACTGTCTGCCCGGCAGGACAGAGGAGTAGAAGGACTGAAGTTAAATGCCCGCAATTTTGTGACCATTGGCAATTAAGAGATAAGAAACCATAAATTAGTACCTCTGAAAAATCATAGCCTGTACTAGAGTCAACAGCTGTCAGTTATGTTTTGTAGGTGGTCCTGTGCATGAGTTTAGCTCAGAAGCAACTTTAGTTAAGCTTCCTTTTCTTCCTCCAGAGTGAACCAAAGGAATCATGGAATAATTTGGGGAACAGCCTGGGCCAATGGGAAGCATACGCAGTGAGAGGGGACCAGGGTAGACCTGTAGCTCCATATAAAGGTGCCCAAGGATACCCCTGTACAGGTGTATGTTGGTAGAGTGAAGATGAAGAAATAGACTTTCTGCAGTAGAGATTGGGCTGTATTAGTTCTGTTGCTTACAGAACAAAGTTTCTGCTGCCAGAGAACATCTGGATCCTTATGGTGGCAAAACTATTACAATTTGGGCAAGTCTGAGAGCATTGCCTAAGTCCTTCAGTAAAATAGGAGGCTTTCTTTTGTGACTTTGGAATATAAAGCAGGTTTGAGGCAGTGGTGGCCTGTGATCATACCCAGCCTGCAGCCATTCACACATGAGGAGTAATAACGTGTTGCTCAAGCAGGATGACCTTCTACAGCTATTACAAATAAAATCTGTTTCTTTAGTTTCACCTGACAGGATGTAGGATTCAATAATAATTTGAACTTCAGAATACCGAAGTTGTGAAACTAAGGCTTCCAGATATGTTCTGTATCTAGGGAATTAATAACATCAGGCTGAAAATAGACTGGTCCTTACTATTCAAGTGTTCTCCCTGCTTGCACTACTCCTTCCTTCCCCCCTTCCTGCTGTGGGCTCTAGGACAGCTGAAATGGTTGGCCAGCCATGTAAATCTGTTTCTTTAGTTTCACCTGACAGGATGTAGGATTCAAATAATAATTTGAACTTCAGAATAAGGCTTCCAGATATGTTCTGTATCTAGGGAATTAATAACATCAGGCTGAAAATAGACTGGTCCTTACTATTCAAGTGTTCTCCCTGCTTGCACTACTCCTTCCTTCCCCCCTTCCTGCTGTGGGCTCTAGGACAGCTGAAATGGTTGGCCAGCCATGTCTTTTGCTGTGCAGTCATTCTCGGTGGGGTTAAGAATTCTCATTAAGAATTTTTATGTCATGTTTAGTGAAGCAGACTCTGATTCAGCTCACAGCTTCTAAACAAGACGCTTCTCAGTTCTCCTGAACTGTTTCTGCCCTTCCCGAACTTTGCACAAGGCAGGATCATCCTGAGCATGTACAGCTTTCCCTAGTATCCTGGGAAAGGAGAAGGGGAGAGCTGCTGGACTCTATGGCCAGGAAGGAATGGAGAAATCCAGACTACAAGTTTTCTCTTTGGAAGTTTGCCTAAGCTTGAGGTCGGTCACACGTTTGGATTATCATGCCAGGGCCTAGGTTTAGGAATCGGGGGAATTGATTATCCCTCTCTTGAAGCAATGATCTCTCTTTAGAAGGTTGAGGGGAATTTACTGGCAGTAAGAAGATTTATGGAACCTCAGTAAATTTCCATGTAGTGTAAGGCAGGCTTATATAATGGTTGCCTCCTGCCAGTTTGTTCCTGCATACGAAACTGGAGGAACAAAGTAGAGAAATCATTTGCAGTAAGTGGTCTTCCAAGGTCTCATTTGTCCTACAGACTGCTGTTGGACAACTCTAAGAAGCTATTGAGGAAAAAGAAAAGGCTGAAGAAGTGTTCTTGCAGCACTAGGGTTGCTAAGAAGCACAGTTAAAGCATTGTGAAGTTTTTGTTGCAGATAGATGTGCTCTTTGCTTTCCCTTTCTATTAAATGTACTGTGCTGATTTGGGCTGTTTTTTTTTTAACCCAGATATTTTGTCAGGACAGAATTTGTTCTGTATACATTCAGTCTTTGGGCTGAACAGGCAAATTAGCAGTACTTTGATTAACTGACAGTAATTTGTGATTCCTCAAAAATGGAATTTGAGTTTTGGTACTTGTTACATAAGGAATTTATTTTGGAACTGTAGTTACTTAGGCCAAATCCTTGCACTTCAGCTTACAAAAGATCCTCATGGTTTTTCATCTGTTGATAATTGCTTTCTTTCCCTTTTCCTGGGGACTTGATTAATTTCTCATGGCTTGATCGATCTTTTATGTGGCTGTAAAACTGAAGTTAAATCCGTGGGTATGTGTTTATGGCAGAAGTGCTTTTTGGTTTTATTCAGATGTTCCAAGGTATTGAAACATCATTTGGACATAGAGAAGGTTCATAATTGTTCTGAGCACCAGAAGATGAAGACAAGGTAGAAAAGGAATAAACACACTGTTGCCTGTGGCTCCCTTCTCTCCCAGCAGAGCTGCCTGACCAGTCAGTGAGGACCCAAGGACTCTCCTTTGGGGAGACCAAAGACTCTGTGCCAAAATCTCAAGGAAAATGATGACTATGTGATTTAGAAGCCCTGACTCAAGAAAATTCAAGGTCTCCATTCAAAGTACGCCTTAATGCCACTTAACTCAGAGGAGATGCTGACTGCAGCTTGCTTTACTTGGCACTTAACCTCATCCCCTTTCTGCTCGGAGCCCAAGAACAGGGAGCAGTTTGTGCAGGCTTTCCACTCTGCTTTCCACATCCTGCAGCTGTGGAAGGAGGAGGAGGAGGATTTGGATCCACCCCCTTGGATGCATGAGGCATCCTTGGCAGCTGTTGGCACGGAGGCTGGCTGAGGAGCAGCATCCCTGCACCACCCCTCCTTCGGGTGTCCAGGCTGGGAAGGAACAGTGGGAGCTGGAAGGGAACAGAGAAACAAAACCCAAGGTTGGGGTCTGCAAGAGCTGCAGGGGAGGTCCCCCAGAGGGGAGGAGATGTGGAAGACAATAGAGGCAGTTAATTGTCTTCACCCTCTTGGGTTTGGTAATGTAGTGGTCGCCATAGGAGCTTGGTTTTTTGGAGTAAGATTTATAGTATTTTTTCTTCCATTTGAATTTATTCCTAGAATTTTTTTTTAAGCCTTTTTTTTTTTTTTCTTTTCCCCAATCCCTTCATTATAAAAGATTGTCTTGTGCAAAAAAACCAAAAGCAAATGTTGGTTTTCCAGAAAAAAAAAAAAGCAAAATTCCCCTCACTTCATGAGAGGCCTGAAGTGGTGGTTTAGTCATTGCAGTGCTGTAGGCTGTGAGGAGGTGATGCAGGCACTTTGTTTTGGGAACAGCCATCCTGCATTGTCACATCTTACCCAGGCTGGGAGGGACCTTGCCTCGGGGCTGGCACAGCTGGGAAAGGCTGCTTTCAAAAAGCCACTCCAGATCTGTGAGAAAGTGAACACTAATCCTAGGCCCATCAGTACCACCTTCCATCAGAGATGCCATACATCTGTGCACCAAATAAACTGCA